CCTGGGATTAAAGGTGTGCACCACCACGCCTGGCTGGAATTTGTTTACTTTTAGATTTCAGGAATGTATATATTATCTTCACAAATGTGTATGTGTGTGTTTAAAAAAGAAACAGCATTGATGTTCAGTGTTTAAAAATGAGAAACTGTTGCTTCAGTAACTACCTAATTCTTGTTTTTTTTATTAGCACCAATTTAAAAATAAAATATGACAATTCCAAAATGAACATCTGCCTTCTACTCATATGATTTCAAATCTTGTGACAGGCAAAATATTTATTAAAAGCAATATTTTTCATCTCCTCTCTGGTGTTGACATCCTTGATTTGTGACATCTGTTTCTTTTTCTAACACAGCTGCTATGAAAGCTTAATTAGCTTTAAATGAGTGAGAATTAATGTTGTCTTGAAAAAATTTTGAATTTCCAGTCACATCGTGAATATTTTGAGCTCTTTGAAATATACTGGTAATTCCAAATGGGAGCTTGTGGGGGTGTTTCTTCAAAAGGGAGCTGAGTTTAGTTCCTGAGAAGGTGGAGTCAGTTATGTAACTAGTATAAGGCCAGCAGTGTGGTGACCTAACTCTTAGCCATTTCTTCTTCTCCACCCTGAAGAAATTCTAAGAAATATGCAAAATTGTTCAAGGAGACACTGGTCCCAAGTTGTTTGTAAGAATGCATCAGGAAAGAGACTTCAGAGATGAAGAAAGTTTTCAAACTTGAATTTATTGAAACAAAACAAATATAAAAAAGTAAAAATTCAGGGAATTCAGATGAAAGAAATGAGAGACAGCTCTTTCATCTGTGTCTATCCTTGGGATAGACGGAACCCTTCTGTGTAGACCCATGTGGTGGGGCAAAGCCACAGGGTCTCTGGAGGGGTGGTGGATGGGAGGCTGGCATCATGGTAGACAGTCTGAAGGACATTGTGTCATCTGAAGTCTTGGTTACGACATGAAGAAGATTCTGAATAAGGTTGGTCCATTTGAAACAAACTGCTTGAAACACTGTAAAGCTCTACACCAAGTGACTAGAGCTGCAAGGACAAATAGGAATTATGTGGTCTGCATCATTCTGACACCAGTAGCAGAGGATGGGAGCCAGTGGATGCTGGATAGGTGTTGTTAGGAAGAGTGTTAGACCTTAGACTATAGTTTGTTGGTTTAAGGTAACATCCACATTTCTGAAAATTAGCATCTTGGGAAATGTTCAAAGCTTCCTTGCAGAGGTGGTCTGAACCTCAGAAAGCAGATACACTAATTGGCCCATGAGAACAATTAGGATGGATTGCTCTAGTCAGTTGGGTTATGTAGGGCCCCAAAGGGCTGAACTGGTTGGAGGTGATATCTTGTGCCAGTACAGAAAGCCTGTAAAATGGTTTCTGTATCTTGCATCTTAATATGGGGAAAGGGCAAAGCTTGACAGCAGAACACATCCAGAATCCATTGCTAAGCACAGACTTATCTATGCCACACCCCAGCCTAGCATGGTGGCCTCCACACAATGGGTGCTCAATGACTCCTAATGGAATACTTGTCAAATTTACTGTCAGTGATGGTTTTAATTCCTGTTTTTCTGCCAGGGCAGTTGTTTCTACCCAAAGGAGCTCATATACACTACTTCATAAGAAGATGTCTGTCTGCCAGAGTAGTTATTGTAAAGACATCCACTAATATGTTCTGATGATAACCATGGCCTTCATTATTAGTCATTCATCAATATATGATCAAAAGCCTTGTACGGGTATGGGATTTGATTTGGGAATTGAAAAGAATAAAATTCTAGCTATCCTACTGATTTTATGTGCTTTACTGCACCTCTGAGCTCTGCCTTAGTTGTCATAAGTCAAAATGGTACTCTGACTCTAAACTAGCAATAATCTGCTATGTAGACCAGGCTGGCCTTGAACTCACAGAGATCCAACTGCCTCTGCCTCCTGAGTCCTGGGATTAAAGGTGTGAGCCACCATGCCTGGCTGGAATTTGTTTACTTTTAAATTTCAGGAATGTATATATACATTAGAATAATAGAAAGTATGATGGTTAAGTGAAGCTCTTCATCTTTTTTTTTTTTAAATTAATGAAGCAAAGTACCATCCCAAAAGCCCATTTTTTTTAAAAACCATTTATTTGGGTGACAGTTAATCCCAAACTGAGGGAGATAAAAAAAATTCACACAATTAGGAAAAGAAGCTGCCTGTGGGTTGATGGATGTAGTAAGAAAGAAGTTCTCACAATTTTTTAAGTCTGAGTCATCCAAAGCCTGCACATAAGCTTTGATGTGTTAAAAGTGACAACCAGATAGCTTAGTAGCTCACAATGGAAGAAATTGGACAGCTGAGTGGAATAAAGTCACAGGTATAAAGTATTCTCTTATATTGAAATAGCAAGTTTGATCAAAAGGTAAAAACCAGGGCAAACTATAGCTGAAGGAGCTAGCAGTAGACATGGAAAGTTCAGTCTTGTTCTTGGCGTAGGCTATGGGCTTGAGTAGATAGCAAGAGGCAATTGCCGTCCTACCTGTTGATTCAGATGATTACATAACACCCAAATAAGCAAAGATGTGATGCCAGAGATCTGCAGTGTATGCTTGGGGAGAGGAGCAGATGGAAAGAAACTCTGGGTGTCTCTGAGTCGCCTCTCCATCCACAGTCCCAGAGGACTTGGGTGAATTGGATGGAAGCACGGTAGAGTCAAAGTCCCTAAGCCAAAATCATACACTAATTTAATCTTAGACTGTCAAACACTGAGCAACTCACAGCTGTTTAAAAAGCATGCCATGTTCTCTGAGAGTAAAATGAGGGACATCATCTACATCTAAGGTTTCTCTGGCTTCCAACATTTAAAAATATTTTTTGATGGTATTTTAGAGCAGTAAAGATTTTAATCTAAATTATGTCTTCTATCATAAATCTGTTGAGTTAAATGTTAGAAGAATTTAATAGTGTTCAAATGTTGAAATAATGCTGTCTTAGAAGTAATTTCTGAGTCTGAATGAATTCCAAATTAAAAGATTCAGTACGGTGATTATTTCTAGCAGCCTAGCAATTTGTAATGAGCCCCACGTTTAATAATCGCCCTCAACAATTTTCTTTCTTTTTTGGATATTACAAACCTTCATCCTGCTATTAATAGTTGTGTTGTTTCCATAAAACAGGAAAACCCTTCCCCCCAAAGTGCTCACAGAGACATCCAGGAAGAAAAAGAAATACATTGTTGGTTCAAGTAGTCTCCGATAACAATTGACAGGGGACATTGTGAAGCACAGCTGTCAGACCACCACTCACGCCGTCGTTGTTCCACTAGCTAAACTCGATGTGTTTTGTAGCTTAATGAAGTCAGTGTTTTAGAGAAGTTCGCACAGATCAGTGAGTCAGCATTTCTGTCTTACAGTTAAGACTTCAATAGTATGAGAGCAAGTTTAGAAAACATTTTTATTAGACAAATTATGTAGACAAATTATACACAGAAAGCTCTGCCACTCATAACTGAGGCCTCCAAAATGTTTTGTGTATCTGTAGACTAGGCAATACATCAAAATCAGCCTATTTTCAATATTGTACATGGTTAACAGTTTGTTGATAGCTGAAGTCACTGCAGCATCTGGTATGCCCCTATATACTGGAAAGACTTTTCTGTTTGAAAATCAGAATCGTAATGAGAACATGAATGTTACGGGGGAACAAGGTGTGCATGCACTTCGGGACTCGTCACCCTGGAAACAAAGTGGTTTCTCATGATAAGAAAGTTTTCTGCCTTACACAGTAGACAATATTTGAAGATTTAGTACAAAAACAGTGACAGTACAAGCTGCTCCCCAGAACAGAATTAGGTTAAAATAGAATATACCTTAAGAATATACCTCTTAATTGTTCCTAAAGCAAATCACATAGGCTGGTTCCTCTAGCGATCCTAACCATGGAATGAACGAGATTAAAATGAGACGCATGGCTGTGGGAAAACAGAATTCTTGCTTCCAACTTACCACATTTGAATTTAAGGATTACAGGTGAAGCACTCTACGTTTCTAACAGATGAGGATGCTACTTTTAGAGGGCTGTGCACAAAGAGGCACTGTTTTTTGCTTGCCATCCTGCTAATGCACTGGCACTGATTTAAAAAAGACAGAACTCTGAATAGAACCAGAAAGAAAGGGTTTGGATAAGAAAGAGCCCAGTACGGTTGTTACATTTTTGCTGTAGGGGGATGTATGACACAAGTAAGGCCACATCAATACTCCCGAAGGGCTCCCACTCCTCCCAAACCACAGTTGTTAAATCCACTGGCTTGCAGTTTTGGAAGAAGACTTTAACCTTCAGTGATCTAAGGTTAAACTCTGAGCTCTGTGTGCTGTGTGTGCGGATCAGGTAATAATAGCGTTTTCCATTTAGATAAGCAATTAAAGGTAAAATGATCAAAGTTAGCTTTATATGCTGCTGAATAACAAATGCAAAAACTCATTCAAATGAGAACATCTGGGAACAAAGATGAAATGGGCCTGGATGTTTTAATAACAAAGTATAAAATAGTCTCTGTTGGCAAACAATGCAGGTCAGAGCGACATTAAAGCAACCTGCCTCTCCAGCCAAAAAGACCTCCTGCCCTATCATAGCTCCTGTATACAATACTTGGTTTTTAAACTAAAGCTTTATTAAATGAATTGCAATAGCAATGGCTGCCTTTTTATATATATACACGTTATATAGGTGCATATATATGTATATATATGAGATACTAAGTTATTTAACACAATAGAGGCCTTTGCCATATGGTAAAGTTTACTGTACATAAGAAAAGTTTGAACACTGTACAATCACATAAAGGTTGGACGCACTGTTGCAGTGCGAAAGGAATTTAACTGTAGTCTTGACTGCATATTAATGGCTTTTTTGTAATCCTACGAAATTGCATTCTCATATTCTGTGGCCTGAATGGTCTTAAAATCGTTTTACAGACACTGCAGGGGTTGCCTTTGGTCCACAGTTAAAGGACGTTCAGCAGCAGTGGAGCATTAGATGGATGCAGCAAAGGAATGGAGAAAGACAGAAGTTATTGCGATTACGGTTTCAAAATAGAGAAACGGCGTGTGAGAGGCCTTTATGTGAGATCAGCCTGCGATGCTCTTGGTAACAGTGCACATCTCCTGTACTTGAAGTACAGCGTAAGAAAAGCGGACTAATAGGATCCTACAACACTATATTCTCGGGGAACAAGTTGACTAATGAAAACAATGGAGGGTAACAGACAAGAAGAGAGGAAAACCGAAAGGAATAGAGCAGGGAAGGAATGTGGGGAGAAAGAACTAGAAGTGTTACTAATTATCCTGATTTCTTTTAAATAATCGTTACATCCGTGTTAGTCCCACATTACAGTTGCTCCTTGCTGGGGATCCTAGAATAACCGGAGCTGTCTGCTGCTCATATGGACGTGCCTCGGTCGGGGTCATTGCCCAGATTAAGCCCCAGGGTGGGAGTTGGCTGATAAGGAATAGATGACATTGTTTTTATAGGACTCCTGAAAAAGCCCCCGTTAGGGGCCCTGTGCCTAAAAGGGCCAGTTCGGTGCTCAGGCACGCTGCCGAAAGCGAAGCCAGAGGCCGCCTTCGCTGAGAGTGTACGGCTAAGAGTCTGGATCTGCTCTGGGATGAAGGTGGTGGTGGTGATGTGAGTGTTCCTGAAATCACTGATCTGCTCCAGGGCTTGTCGTGTTGGCAAAGTGTCAATGTCCAGAGGGGTCAAGTCAATTGACGAGGTGGAAAACTGTTTATGGGGGCTGTCGTCATCTGTGCACAAGCTATTTACTCGTCTATGGAGGTGCTCCAGGTCAATTTCCTTGTCATCCTGGAGATGAAGAAAGAGAAAATAAGGTTCCCATCAGTACTAGCTTCCATGGTTAAAAAAAGTCGTTCAGCAAACATTTAATTAACTGAACTTTGGGGTTTATTCACTTAACAGATATTTACTAAAGCACCTACTGTGAGTCAGGCCCTGTGCTAGCTTTAGGGAATACCAACAGGACTTTGAGATAAAGTATCTACAATAAATACTTTCCTTGCAGTGAAAGTTTTAAAATGAGCATAGGCCACATGCAGCTACGAAGACAGCGAGCAGATGACTGATTACCACTCTATAGACAGGCCCCGGCAAATGATACCCACAGAGCGTCTGACCTTGCTGACTCCCTGGACCCTTGCCACACTTTTTTTTTTCGTGTGTTCTCCTTTCTTCAGAATCTTACTCCAAATTGGGTTTTTGATCCTTTCTACCACTTAGGCCTAGTCTTAACTCCCCATTCTTAGAGGAAAGGGACATGATGTGTTTCTTCAAATTGAAGTGTTAATGACCGTTAAGGTGTTCTTCCTTGGTGCCCAGAGCTATGTGAGGGTCTTGAGAAAGAGTAACCAGCACAGGAGCATCGATTTCTATCTGGCTGCGTAGCTTCTGAATGGTGATATTGTGAGGTCAAAGGGTATTTGAAGACTCCTTCAAGTCAGGCCATGTGAAAAATAGCTTTAAGTGAGGGTAAGTTTTATGCTAAATGGCTCTAAACCAAAGATCCTTTGGGCTCTGCTAATGATGTGTTTGGAAAAAGGTGTAATAATAATAATAATAATAATAATAATAATAAAAGACAATGAAGCCTCGAATTTTTGGAGAGGAATCCCATCTCAGGGTTTTCACTGAAATCCATATTATAGCCCAATATTGAAAAAAAAAAAGAATGGACAATAAATAAAAATTTCATTTGTGATCAGTCTTATTTATAGCCAAGATTAAGAAATTAAATTTATGAGGTTGTAAAAATATCTATGAATCGTGAGGAGAAAATATTTGTTCCTAGGACCTGGACTGGCTGTCACGGGTTAGGATGGGGTCTATATTTTTTCTGATGACACTGCTGCAGTGCTCTTCAGTGAAAACTATCTGGATGCACATCACTGTTTTTCCTTCTCCTTTCTCATTTTAAAATCCAATAAAAATATCCATTAATGCAATATTATCACTGAGACTTCAGAAGGTTGAGACAGAATTTTACGGTTCCCACAGCAACTATAATCTAGTCATCCATCAACAGATATAATAATGCAAAAATTTAATATCATCTGTAGTAATTCAAAATATAAGGAGCTCGGGGAGTCCTTCATTTCCAGAATGTGGAGAGCATGAAGTCTCAGCTACAAACTGCATTAATGTGGCCTTTGCATTGGATTGATGTCAGCAGAGTCCCTAGTGCTACTCCACCAAGAAGACATGACAATAAGACCTGATTAGTTTTTAATTTGGTCTCCACTTAGTGGAATTGATCACTAGTTCAGGTAGGAAGCAAAGAAAATCAAGCTGTTCTTAAAAATGGTGCTGATCAGCTTTGCATCTAAGGAGCTTGGAAGGATCCTTAGGCTACTACAGATAAAGATGTTTGAAAGACAAAACTAACACGAAAACATGCATATGCAAATCCTTTTTATTTGTGCATGAAAGCCCTTAGGGGGTGCTTGGGCAGCAGTTAGCCAGTGCTGCTAAGGGAAAGTTTAAAACTTTCTTTGACACTGTCCCTCAAATCAAATCCCTGAACAAGTTCAAGTTCCGGTTGTTTTTCAGTTCAACTCCTCAAGATTTAAAGAGTGTAAATTCACTATTAAAAACGTTTCATCCATCTGGTCCAGTGGCAGTAAGATTAAAGAGTCAAGTATTTTCTTTCAAGTCCAAGTTTTCCCTGGTAATGGAAAGACCTCATAATTTATGTTGAAAATTAGGCAAACACTCCTTTCATCGAAATAATACGTATAATTCTGCAACCATTCTTTCAACGATCTGTACAATCGAATATGATCCTGTAGTTGAGCTGACACAAGAGTCAGGGAGATAAACAGAATTCAGAATGATTTCCCAGTGTAAATTTGGCATACTTGGGATCGTGGGTGAGCCCCAGGCACACAATCATTTTTCCAGATCTTCACATAAAGAGGGGGAAGTGGCCACTAGTGGTGAAGAGAGACACTGTTACTTTTACTGTGTGGCTGGGGTGGTTTAGTCCTTGTCTTTAAGATTCTGATAATTTGCCTACAACTTAAAGAATTGAAGTCGAACATTAAGCATCTTTGTGACCTGAGTCTAGAAAAATCACAGCCTTTCAAAATCAATAATTTCTACCCCGAGACTCAGAATTCTGAGAACTGCAATGCACAAATGGTCAGCCTTGTAGATCCTGCCCCCTGCTCTCCATTTATCACAAGCACCTAAGTGGATATTGGTATCCCATCACCTTTCACCTTCCACACACTCATTTGGAATTCTCAAAGAGAGCAGAATGAGCAACTGGTAGCTGGTTCCCCCCTCTTCCCTGGAAACACGACCTGCCTGTATGTGGCGGCTCAGGCTAGAGCTCAAGCTCAAGTACCTCTTTGGATGGGACCCGGGAGCCTTTCCTCTTGTTCCACCATGTCTCCAGCATGGCTATGAAGCAGGACAGCACGATTCCCGCTGCCAGGATACAGAATACTCCCGCAAAGCTCTTGATGTCCAGGGCGCCTCCCTTCTGCTTGGCGTCCACGGAGGAGTATAGGTCACACTGGCCGTTCTTGGGCCACCACTTGTGCTTGAGAATATCCATGTCCCCACTCTGCTGTAGCTCCAGGATCCTGGGGGTGAAGAACACAGTGCATGTGACTGCAGCCAGCATGACTTGCCTTGGGCCAGATCCCCACCTCTAAAGATGACAGATGTCTCTCACTGCAACAGTTTGGAGATGATGCTCTGGGAAGCCAGAAACATGATTATTGGACTTCCTCCTCTCTTCCTCTTTCCATCCTTCCCTCTCTTCATGCCTCCAAACCCCTTATTATTGTGCTCTCCTTCTGGAACTCTAATGGCTCTTCCCCCATTCATTGCAGTATGCTTTTAAAATTGCATTTGAGAGATGCCATCTTGATGTAGTCTGAAGCTGGTGCAGCTCTGTACCTATCCTACACTGAATGTAGATCTGGACTGTAATGCTTTTATGATGAGCGTTTTGACGCTTTGAGTGACCCACTGGTGTGAGCCCCAACATATGCTACACACAAAGAAATTCAATTAAAAAGAATTCTGTTATTTAACATGGTATAAGAGAAAGCCTTGGGACAGGTTTGAAGTTGGTAAAATACATCATTTTCAGGTTTTCACACAACTGATCTAGTTTTCCTTTTAATGCCAAAGGGAAAGTAGTCTTACCTTGGAGAGTAAGAAGAAAAGTTGACCAGAGGCACCAGGGGGAGTAAAATTCAAGCAAGAAACACCTCCTTTTTCTCCATCGTTTCTCCCAGAACCTGGGAGGACCTGCAGAACACTGCAGCTTTGCAAAGTGTGATTCTCATAATTGTACATCTGCTTAGGCCCAGACCTACCTTGCTCTGTGGCTCCTGCAGCAGCAGCTTACCTAAAACCAAGGCTGCACTGGAGCTTCCTGACTGCTCAGCTCAATGATCTCCCTGGGTCCTTAGCTTTATTCACTGTCCTTCTGAGAGCCAGTCTTAAGAGCACCAAGGGTCTGCAGGATGGCCTTTGGGAAGACTGCAGACAGAACATGTGTGCTTGGGCTCCTCAGGGCACAGGGTAGCTGGAGCTGGGAGGGGAGGGATCATTCTGCTTTCCCCAGTGTCTCTGCACTTGAACCTCTTAGAGGCCATGTTATATAAGAGAATGGGGCCGTTTTAGCTTGATTTGGAACTTTTAATGCTTAGGCTTCGGATATGTCTTTTCTTTGTGCCCTGGCCCTGGTCAGTGATTCTTTGGGAATTAGACTTTGAAAACATTGAAGAACTAAGTCAGTCTAGGAGTAAACCAGGTACTTCTTGTATTTTTCCTGCTTTAAATCATGCAAATGGCTGGACAAATAACAAAACTGATAAAGGAAGGAGATGTTGTGGACTGGAGATAGGTTCACAGTTCACCTGAGTTAAGACTGAGTCACCTCCCGCAGGGCCACAGGGCTACACTGCCCAGGTCACACCCTGCTTCTCATATAATCCATCCATCGAATGTTCTGTGGCCTGAGTGCTGCCCTACAAGGGTGGTTAATTGACTGATTGGATTTAGTGAAATGATTATGGATAGTAGTAGATTGTGGGTCACCTGCGTTCCAGTTCATTTGCACTTCCAGAATTTGAAAAAAAATGTGTATTTCTCAAGACACCAGAGCCTACACGGCCTCCTCAAGGATCCTGTGATCATTAACTCTGAGAAATACTCTCCTAAGGATTTAAAAAGATGTCAGCCTATTAAGATGTCTGAGAAGACCCACTATGGTTCTTTGTAACTTAGCCTTCCCCAACCTTCCTTTCCCTCTACTACCCTTGTCTTTCTCCCATGTAGATCAATACTCTACCGAGCTCCACTTTAAGGGGAGAAATAATGAGTCAAAGAAGTACTCACATGTGGCAATTCCTGGCACGGGGTGAGAGCCACCCAAATGCACACTATAGTATCAAAGATTCTTGCTTGGCTCAGACATAAAGTGATTTAAATGATGTTGATGCTACTAAGAAGTCAGATTAAGGTTTCAGTTTTGCAAGATTAATAACTTCTAGAGGTTGGGGAGGTGACTTAGTAGAGTGCCTACTGTGCAAACAGGAGGATCTGAGTTTGATCCCCAGAACCCAGAAAGTCAGGCATGGTGGTTACACTTGTGATCCCAGAACTGGGGAGGCAGCAATAGGCAGATCCCTGAAGCTTTATGGCCAGACAGTCTAGTCTGCTTTGTAAGTTCCAGGTCAAATGAGAGAACTTGTCTCAAAAAACAATTTTGATGGCACATCAAAGGTTGACCTCCAAACTCATGGACATATGTGTGCAAACATGAACACACACACACACACACACACACACACACACACACACGAAAGATGAATAATTTCCAGAAATCTGCTCTATACCCTTTGGTATAGTTAACAGTACTGTATTGTATACTTAAATTTCTAATAGATTACCTCTCTCTTAAGTGTTAATAACATAATAATTAAAACAATGCTATATCTTTCAGGAATTTACTTATCCAAAGGCACTAAGTCATCAGGAAACCTTCAAATACCTTGGAAAAGTTTAGCTAGCTCTGAAGAAATAATTCTCCTTAAATTTGAGTTTATAGCTATATGTGGAAGGAAGTTACAGCATTTGCTCAGTAAGAATACAGCTGCCCTCAGTGTCCGTGAAAAGTGGTCTCAGGACCCACTGAAGACATGGAAGTTTGAAAAAACTCAGGTTCTTTATGTGATATGGCACGGGGATCACATGGACCTCCCACACCATCCTTTATTCTCATCATCCTTAGGTTATTTGTAGTGATAACATGTAAAGACTATCAAAATACTGTTATGCTGTATTGTTTAGGGAATGGCAAAGAGAAAAACAAAGTCTGGTCATTTTCAGTCCACATGCATTCCACCTTTTCTGGGTGTTTGTGTTGGTTGACTCTGTGGGCACACACGGCTATGAAGGACTGATAATTTCCAGACCCAGAACCCCAGTGAGCCTCTGCAGCAAACACTTCACTCTTGGCAGTGAGCTTCAGGGCTCTTCTCCTACCCTGCCCTACTGTATGTGTTAACATTTTCTCCCACAGAGTTTATCATCCTTTGTAGCTGTTGGTGATTAGTGATGAGTGTTCCTTCCCTTCTAGAACATCCCTTCTCCACGTTGTACAGGTGGGTGTATATTGATTGAGTATGCCCAGCACACTTTTGTGAAGTAAACCCTGCCCACACATCCTACCCTTTTTTTCCTCATCACTGAAGCTATTCCATAATTTATTCCATTTTCTCTGAATTCATCCATCCATTCAATAAATATTTCAAGGGAGACTTCATGCCAAGCATTCTTTGTGCACAAAATTTACTCTATACCACGACTGTACATTAATCTGGAACGGCCTGGCCACACTGTGAAGCTGGCCTTCCAACGTCTTCACTGTGCTTTTTGGTCTTTGCATTCATTCAGGAATGGATTACAACCTCCTCTCTTTCCTAAATGGTTGCTGAAACTTCCACATGCCATTCATTTACTCATCTTTTATTTTTTATTGAAATGTACAGATCACATTTAACCCATTTTAACTGCAGAGTTTTAAGCTCAGTTGGATGGGGGACAGAATTTCATGGCAGAGAAAGACTGGCTCACTGCAAAGCCACAGTTTCGCACAGTGGATCGAGAACTTACTGTGGCTCTCCTTGTCCCGAGATATAGAGAAATTGAGCCATGGGGTCCCTCAGTCAAACTCCAGCCACATTTTCAGTAGCCCACATTGCCTTCCAGGAGCACAAGCTGGTGTGGGATAGGGTATTGGAAGGGAACAAAAGCATTCTGTAAGCCCAGCGTTCTGCCAATGACACCTTGCTATAACACCCGAGGCTTCTGGAAATTGCATCCTAAACTCTCTCAATATCGTCTTTGTATTATTTAACAAGTTTGTGATTAGGTGAAGTAAGGAAGTAAGTTTAGTAAAATGTAATGTGCTGCCTGGTGAGATATATTCTTAGAAAGTAAAGATCCGGGTCCTCTTTTCAAATCTTCACAAGGCGCTCTTAAATGAAAGTTAAGAACACACCTAAAGGATATTTTTTGCTAGTTAATTATAAGCAACAATGATTGTGTGTGTGTGTGTGTGTGTGTGTGTGTGTGTGTGTGTGTGCGCGCGCGCGCGCGCGCGCGTGTGAAAGCAAAACGTTTTGGGCTTCTCAGATAGGATTTCCTTAATGCTCATAATTTCCACAAGATGGCAGTCTTTGCTCACAGAGAGCAAGGCGTTACTGCAGTTAGGGTTTACCCACAGGCTCGAAATACAGAAATGCAGGAAGCCAACTCTTAGTGCTGTAAGCACTGAAACTATGAGATGCAAAATTAGCTATTAGTGATGAACACTTGGATGGCTAAAACATTTTCGTGAAATGGAGTGAGAAAAAGTCCTGCCATTTTTACCCCAGAGTGATGACAACCGCGCTTTCTTTTGAGTGGTATTGTGGAGAGAATTAATGAGACCACACCCACAAAGTATTTTGTGCGTTGCTTGACATAGGGAAGGTGAGCACAACTTGAAAGATGGCATTATGATGGTTAACCCGTATGATTAGATCTCTTCTTTGGACCTGCTCTGGCACATTCTTAATGGGGAGTTCTATGCCTTATGAATCAGTGTGTGATCAATTCACTGACAAGAGCATTGCATTTCCTTCTTTTTCCAAAAATGTTGAAAACATTTGCCATCTCATTGAACAGAAAAATGTTTGGAAGTCTATAAACCTAGCTACAGCTGGAAAATGATTACCAGCTTAATCCTGATGGCTGGATTCCTTATTGATATAAATGAGCGGATTTCACAGGGAGGCAGTTAGAAGCAAAAGCTCCGTCTTTCACAGTCAAATAAAAACATCAACAGGTTTAGACAGTCCTCTGGTAAAGAATTTTGCTTACTTTGAGGATAATAGCCTCATTTGTGTGGGGACTTTTACTAACCCATTGATCGACTAACACCTTGAACAGCTACTTGAAGAATTGATTTTTTAAATTAATTTATTTGCAAGGAAAGAGGTTGCGAAAGGCGTGTGCCAATTTCTAACCCTTCAGAGGTGACTTAGATTTTCTCTTTGAATAGTACAGCAGTCTGTGGGTT